ATTTTACATGGTAAAACTATTTTTTTTAAAAAAAAAAACAGCAGGAGTTAGTTTAGATGAGCAAGAAATGCATAAAGTTAGCTGAATTTGGGAAAACTGGGCTTCATTCTTCACAAGCTAGTGTGTTACGGGGCAAATAGAGTAAATTATTAATACAATGAGGACTGATTCAAGGCAATAGCTTATAGATCTGGGGGCCAGCTGCATAAACATAGAGTGAGTTTTGGCAGGTCACATTAAACTCGCATCAGCTGACTCTCAGCTGATCCACGTCTACCTAGAGGAATACAACGCCTGTCACCAATCAACTATACAGTACAAGCTCCTTCAGTATTATCAGCAGTTATCACGTATCTCAGAAGCTCATACAATCCCCAGATCCTCCTCTCGCCAATTTGGCATTCTGATTCCCCATGACCCCCATGATTAAATTCTCGAATGATGTTGTACTCTAAAATGTTGAATTAATGATACTGCATACTTTCATGTTGGTTCTGTTCTGTTTACCTTAAGGGGGGTTATTGCTGCTCTCTCCATAGCACCTCATTGCAGTACACAAAATCCAGGGGGCGGAGTCGGATCCAGATCTGAGGGGTGGAGTTGGGTAGGTTTAGGGGTGGGTTTAGCGATCAGGGGGTGGAGTTGGGTAGGTTTAGGGGTGAAAATTGAATGGCTAACTTTTTATGCAAACGAACACAGACTGTAGGTAGCCCTCCCTGTGCCCTCTACTGGATCAAGTAGGCTAGTTACAGTAGTCGATAAAAAACAGATCCTCCGTAAGACTTGGGAGCTTTGGAGTTAACTAAGTTAATATTTAATTACTACAGTAGAAATTTCTCACTAGAAATGAAAACGTTGTTCAAAGACGTAGTACAAACTGACCACAATTATTTTTAGCACAATTGTCACAGAATGGAAAGCACAGGATTGTGGGATATTTTGCGAAAGATACATCTATGCTGACTTCAAAAATCGATCAGTTAAGGACTATAGCCTATGAGACAGGAAGTGAAGCTAACATTGGATTCGGACGTACCTTGATGCCTTCCAAGCTTGGAATGCGGCCTCCGAAGTCCGAAGGCAGCATTTTTAAGTTTTCAGACACAGCCAAGTCATGGGAATGTGATATGAAGGTAAAATAGTGCCTAAAAGAACTATGCGCAGGGTAAGATTTTGAGTACATAAGATTGCAAGCGTAAAATAAATTTGCATGCGCAAAGGAAGATTTGCAAAGGTGTAAATTAATCGCCCTGCAAGTGTAAAGAAAAAAATATTTGCAACATTTAGGCTAATTGCTATTCGTAAGTGTAATTCATGTATTTTGAAGCTGCAGCTTCATGGTAACGCAAAATAAATAGGATCTGTCTGTAGTCCTATTCTTCAGACTTTCATTTTTCCACGCTTACACTTTTGGCACGGTTTTTGCGCACAAATGTGGAGCAGTTCAGTATACAGAAGTGGCACCCTGTGATCTCTTTTGAGTCTGATCAATGTCAAACAAACAATAGTTAGTGTGATCCGATTTCAATGAACACACTTATGCATGAAAGCCCAGTGCAGTTGGAGTTTGTGTGTGTGTGTGTGTGTGTGTGTGTTATGTGAGTAGTGAGATTGTAGTCTATCAGAGGAACTATGTGTCACCAGCAGGCAATATAGAGGTGTTACTGGGGCAAACCACACAGATGTTAGTAAAAAAGACTTCAGCGTTCAGCTGTTCTGAGTCCCTGAGGAAGTCTCAATCATCTGCTCCTCCTGCTGCTCTGCTGTCACAGGAACGTAATGAGAGAGTCACATTTCTCTATACAGTAACTTTTAATTAACAGATTTCATAAATAGTATGTATATTCAGGTTTTCTAATGGTATTTCACTTAAAAAAGAAATCATGTTTTTTTTTTTTTTTTTTTTTTTTTTTAGATAAGTTTGTAATCTACAAAAAACCTGATAGGGTCATTGTCAATCCAAAATATTTTTTAAAAAGTCATATTGTAGTCAAATAATATGTGTTCGTTGGTCAGCTCATAGCTCCCGTACACGATTCCTGGCCTACAAACAAGATTGTCACAGATGATCTGTCTATCTTTTGTGCATACAGTGTGCAACATCATGGGCTGAGTAAAAATCTTCTTTATCCCATAATTCAAACTTCTTTGCAGCAGCATGTCAAATTTCAATGCAAATGGAGCTGAAAAGGCTGTCCCACTTGATCTTCAGTCCATATTCATAGCCCACAGACACGGTTTCCACAGTCACAGAGAATGGAAGTGTAACAAAGACTCCCCAGGGTGTGGGATTCCATACCGCTGTCCTGGATACAGTCTGGATAATGGTTAGGGATATTCTGAACGTCTAAAACTCCCCACACGATGTCGCTCTTACACATCAGCATTTGCCTACGATCAGAAAGAGGGCCACATGTCGCTGAAGTGGGTCAGTGTGTCTTTCTAGTAGGCACTGCAGTGGTTTGTTTTAGTTTTAGAGATTCAAAGGATACAGTAGGCCTACATATATCGGCATCCATCTCTGTCTGTCTGTTTATCTCGTCAGAATGTAGCATATTGCCAGGATTTGTCAGCAGTTTTCATTACATTGAAAGCATGTATATTCATGAAATAGAACATAGGTCGAAATAACGTTAAGACATGGAAAAGTAAATAAAGGAAGGAACAAGGAAAAAATAAATAAAATAGGGCGAATTCACATTTATATGGAATATATACCACATTTAAAGAAGTATAGCCTACATCTATTTATAGTCAGAAAAATAAAGAACATAGGCCTATATATTACAATTAATATTTATTAATGTTAAACATAATATTTAAATAAAAAGAAATACAGGAAAGGAGTTTATTAAAATGGGATGTAGCTAATATAGACTACACATGGTTGCCTATGATTTGTAAAATATTTGCTTCGGCCTAGCGTACTCACTGTAATACTTTCTATTCTGCAGCTGTGTAATATTGTTGTGCAAGTTACCGGTGTATAAGTAGTATATCATATTGTATTATGCTTAAAAGGTTCACATAACCTGCGATGCTTATGAAGAGGAGAGAATGGCATAAGCGGAGAGAGAGAGAGAGAGAGAGAGAAGAGAGAGAGAGCAAGAGAGAGAGGAGGGGGCATGCGCGTCACACGCTCGTGGGGGGAAATCAAGAGGGCGAAAACGGCTTGTGGACACAATGGATTTGCGAACCAATGGACTTTGCGTTGATTAAAGGACAGAGTCTTCGATGAACACGAGAAACAAGGTACGTTCGGTTTTTTGAGAAGAGCGCGGCACGTTGTATGTTGCGCTTTTCCTCGTTTTATTTGATTCTAACGGTAGAACCGTTATTTGGACGGTAGAGGATGCAGGAAGTCGAGACATCATTGCAGAGAGAGAGGGAGAGAGAGAGCGGCCCGCTCCGCAGGGTCCTAATGTGATGTTTTGACAGGCTGCAACCTCAATCTTGACACTCCTTCAACACAATCAGCGGCGCAGAACATATTTTATAGTTTACCATATTAATCAGCGATTTGGTTGGTCTTGCACACTAGGAACCTCCCGATCTAAGCGAAATTAAAACGACAGCTGATGTTTCGGCGCCCGAAGGCTGGTTGTTTCATGCTGCCAAGATAAGTAATCTAACTGGCATCAGCAGCAGCATGGGATCACAACAAAGCCTGCCTGTCCATGCCAGTATGCATGGTATTTCCCAAGGATTTGTGCACCGTTAAATATATATCAAATGACTTGAAATGGGCTCATGTTCTTGTGCCTCTGTTTACGGTTTCGTTCATGATCTGACTTCCTTTATCTGACAGAAAGATCAATTTGACATCTACAGAGATCCAACCCTGTTGGAGCTGCGTGCGTTTTGTAACATGGTAGCTGGCTTCTAGTTGGTAATTTTCTTGTTTAAGATGATTTTTTTTTCTCTAAAAAACACTTTGAGATGGTTTGTTGCTGGTTTAAGATGGTCTGTCATCTAATCACAATCTTAGGCCATATCTAGAACTTAGAACCATGTTCTAGCACAGCTGCCAGTCTTTTTAAATACTGTTGTCTGCCAATATGAATAGTTTATGTTTATGGAAACAATGAAAGAATTGCTATGTGAGATGTGGGCTAAACTTGAAAGTACTTCTCAAAGAAATTAGAGTACGGAAGTGTTTCGCATCAGTGCGTACCCGTTTCCTTTACAGCGTTTGATATTGTTCAAATTTGTATGTATTGAGCGTGTATTTATTTATTTACTTGTTTTGTTCTAAATTAAAATGAGTCTTCTATATTCATTTATTCCCGTTTTAGTGTAATTTAAAAGTAAGAGGTGTCTTGAGAATGTGTCTTTTCTGGCTGTATGACCCTGAGGCATCTGTGTGGCCATGGGAGAGCTGTCAATGAATACAAAAAAAACACATTATGGTACTAAACATGTAGGTGTTTGCAGTGAGCATCTACTGTTTATGGTATTTGTGGCCCCACTGAGTTGAAAAACATATGTTGGCATTTAAAATACACTTTAAATAAATGAATGCCATTGCATTAGATGCAAATAAGAAAACCAGGTCTCCTTCATCTATTTACTTTATGTTTAAACTTGAGTCCTGAGAACAGACCTATCATAATTTGTCTGCAGATGTCACATTTAATATTTTACATTTCATTTTGTTTTAATCCAAATCCACTTAGGCTACATGAGAAAAAAAAAAACGTACAAATGACTTATAAAGCGATTTAGCCTAATTCATTCATCCCATAATTTTTAATCTAATAATACAACGAAGTTCACACATTTATAAGTGTGGATTTGGTGTTTAAAGGGCCACCCTTTATAGATTTATATTCTGATAAAATATGTCATTTATCTTTGTCTTATTCATACTTTCTACTTTCTTCTCTTTTTTGGCTGATGATGGACTGATCCTGATCATTGCTTCTACTTATTCATTAAATAAGGAGGAGAAGCAGAGGGCTATGCTGTTTCTACTTGTCTTTACTGCTGTTTGATTAACCATGATGAAGACTGAACCCCCATCTGCAGCCAGCGGCAATACTAGCACCACCCTTGTAGCAAGAAGTGCATCGCCGCACAGGAATGCCTATGAGGCTGGAATTCAATCTCTCAAGCCGGTAAAAGATTCCAGTGCTGCTAACGGGGAGGATGGGAAACCTCGACCACAGGGCCGGGGCCGCAGGTACGGCTCCAATGTGCATCGCATCAAGAACATGTTTATGCAGATGGGTTCTCCCGGGGATGAAGAGGATCCGTCGAAGGCCAAAGCCCCAGACCAGTCGATCCGACTATCCCTTCCCAGAGCAAGCAGTCTAAATGAGAATGTGGATCACAGTGCACTGCTCAAACTCGGCGGGACCGTGTCAGAGCGGGTTAGCCGCTTCGATGGAAAGACTGATGGTAGCGGATCCCGTGGATCAACCACAGGCATCTCCAAGCTGCAGGAGACACGGAAGATATTTGAACAACGTCACATGCAGGAGAAGCAGGCGGCGACTAATCGAATCCTGTTAAAGAAAGAGCGGGCGTCAGGGTTCCAAGACAGTCGTCTGGACGTGGTGGTTCGCTTCAATGGCAGCACTGAGTCATTGGACAGGCTGGATGCAGGCGACTGTCCCGCAGATGCAGTGTCCCCTACGGTCAGCCAGCTGAGCGCAGTATTTGAAAGAGTAGACCAGCGCAACAACCTTCACCGACCATCCTCAACCTCCCCGCTGCCTTCTACCCCGGCCAAGGTGGAAGAAATCAACTCCACAGTCACCACCACCACCAGAAAGCCACGAGCCTTCTCTCCAACAGAAAATCAAGAGGAGGGAGCTCAGCGCATAGACCAAGAAGCTGCACCTGGGAGTCCGAAGAGTAGAACAAGCATCCAACCTGGTGGACCCAATAGCAAACCATCCAAGGACGTGGCTTCTGACAGTGCTGGCACAGTTTTCGATACGTCCAGGTCAGAGGAGATCCAGAAAGCATCAAGCAATGATTCCATACCAGCACCGGATGCAGGGAGCAGACTGGTACAGGCGGATGTCCACGCCTCTCTGGAAAACGGGGAGGCCACCAAAAGCCATGAGCCCTCAGAACAAAGAGAGGAAATTGGACAGGTCTGTGCTGAGGAGGAATCCCACAGAGAGGATATCTCAGAAGCAGATCTGGTGGACATCAGCGCATACAGCGGGATCGGAGAGGACTCTGGTGGAAGTCAGCTGGACGAAGATGAGGAGGCTGAGGAAGATGAAGCTTATGAACCTGAATCCAGCTCTTCAGAAATCCCTGGGTTGCCTGTAGAAGATGAACCACCCCCCAGCAGGAAGATTTGTTTCAGTACAAGCCCCATCAAGGTAAGTGCCTAAAATGTGTGAAAGCAAGGACGCATTGTTTAATAAATTGAATGCATTGAATGCACCTTAAAAGCTGTGGGCACGGTTTCAATTTTAGGCTTTCTGGGGTAAATTATGATAGCTTGTGGCCACCATTTTTAATGAATAATGTGCATTGGCAGGGTTTGGATGGCTACAGGAGTCGAAAATTTGAAGCTAGTCTTTGAAGATTGCATTTCTTTGGGGAATTACGCCTAAAAGTGTTTGTTATTGGTGTGACGCACAAATAGTAGCCTTTGTCTCCTTAAATGTTCAGAAACAGATTCTCAATGAAGGGAGGACTGCTTGGCTTGCAGAGTCACCTCCGGGCACCGTCAGCACTGTGATATAGCATACGCATGCCACTAGCCTTGCTGACGGCCCACTTCTGCTGGTTTAAGAGCTCTCTCTCTCGCTGGCTGTTTTCAGACTGCATGGTTAGTCAGGTGCTGCACAATGTTTTTAGCAAGAGTCACATGGTTGTGGTCCCCTGTTTTGGTGACTTTTACATCTGAATGTGTATTCTTAAGACAATGGGACATTCACATGATGACCAACACTATCAGAGCATCATCCCTTCAAACTGTTCATGAGCTCAACAAAGGGATAAGTTGTGTTTTGCGCTTTAAGACATGCAACCGCTACCAGACCGGTCAGGTACTTTGCTCTTCAGGTGCTAGATTCACAGTATGGGAATGGCCAGCTCCTAGTGAAAGCATACCGAAGGGATGCTAAATCTAAAGTGAATACTGTGTGTAATCTCACTGACGTCAAGGGGATTTTATACCAGGGGGTTTGGCTTGTGTTGCAAAACTGTGGCTGTCACGGCCCCTTTTTTGTTCCTAGTGTAGAAATAACATACTTTACAGCAGAACAACGATAAGTATAGTAGCAGCTGAAATGCTTGCTTTTTTTAACCTCATTTGACTGCATTTTGACCTTTTCATTGCAGATATTCAATAAAAATCATGTTGGAACACCTGTAAACACCAGCTCTCTAAAGCCTGTTTGCTTGTCAAGTCTTAAACATTCTCCCCTTTTTCACCATCTTCCTCTTTTTCACTCAGTTAGACTAAAAGCTCTTGTATCTGTTGATCACAGCCTCATTAGTCTTCTGCTCTGGTATCATTATTTATACATTAACCTAAAGAGGATCAGAGGGTACTTTTATGTAATATTTTTTGCAATACCTGCAATAGATTATATCTAGATACCTAAATATAAAATCAAGCATACAGTGCTAGACATTGCAATACTAAACTTTACATTTCACAGTTATTATTTGTCATCACTTTTAACTAACTGCTTCCAGTATCAATTTTAATGGATGAAGTAAGCCAGGTGTGGATGATCACATCAACTAAGAACATGTTCTAACATTTGACTACCAGAAAGTGTGAGTCTTCTGAGCTTATCAGTTGATTAATATTTTCACATTTGTGAAATGTTCTGTCTGAATCTTTAGCTAATGCACAGGCATTCATACACGTATCGAGTGCAAGTGTCCAAATTTGGGACCACTGTATCTCACTCTGTCTGTGTCTGTCTGCTGTGGCTTACATGTTAACATGTTACATGTTGTTAAATGTTTGCTTGCATGAATAGGCCTTGTCATTGTTCATTGTACCATCTGTAATCTCGTTGTTGGTTAGTGTTCACATCTAGTTCATAGAGTGGCCTTATTATTAAGTGTTTTGTGAGTCCAGAGTCGTGGACAAACTCTCTTATCCTCTCAAAGACAGGAAGAGCAACTGCAATTTTAGGGCAGGGAGTTGTTGGTAGAAGTTGACCTCACTTTTGGAGGTGATCTAAGACTGGTACCAGTTCATTTCAGGAGTGGGAAGCTCTGGGTTTAGATGCAATCAAACCCTAAAACAGTGTAGAAAGTGAAAGGTTTAATTTATGCATAACTTTAGGTGGGAATAAAATCAGTACAGTGGAAGGGATATTCAAGTTTGCAAGTTTTTTATATATATATTTTTTTTTCAAGTAAATCCTACACGTTTCATTTTACTACAGTTTGCAAATACCCTACATCAAAGTGTACAGGTCAGTTTTTCAGGTCAGGAAGAAGAAATGCCAGAAGAGTAATCCACCACAGAGTAACTTTGCACTTATGTGTTGCCGTTTAACAGCAGGAATAAACTTGTATTTGGACTCTCTCAGCTGGCATATGTTTGCTTTAGCAGCTCACAACCTCAACACATTGTGTCCATTCCTGCTGCTAAAAATAGTTGCGTTCTCTTCACTTTCACATAATCCTGAAAGTCTTACACCCTTGGCCTTGCACTACAGGTGGTGATAGAGCTGAAGGTAGCCCTGATTCCAGGCAATAACATAGGGGATAATAGAGCTGTGTGTTGTCGTTGCTGAATGAGGCCGTTATTATCAGGCTGCAGCAGGAAACTGACAAAAAAAGGAAATGCTCCCTTAAAGGGGCAGTGCAGGTTTTTTAAATGAGAGACTGAAACCCATTGACGCATCAGATCGGTTGCCATCCGTGAGGGATGTTGAGTTGCTTTTGTTAGTGCCAAACTATGCCTAAATGAATCTAGCATGGCATCATAGCTTTTTAGTTCTTGTGGCAGAACTGATGCATCATTCCACGGTATCTGAAGAATGATGTCAAAAGCTGCTGGGTAATCAATAGGGTTGAGCTGCAGTATACGTCACATATTTACAATATATTTATTGTTTTCATATTTACATATTTACAATATATTTATCTTTGTAATCATCATCAGTGATTTATTTGAATCATAACTTAAATGCTTTAAAAGTATTCAATAGTAATGTTTTGGTGAAAATTATGCTGTTTTGGTGCATTTGAATAAAAATGATAAATTTAGTGAATAACAATGCTGAATTTTGATTCAATTTTGAATTTTTGATTTTTGAACATTTTGAAAACTTTTTTTTTACTTTTTTCATTAAAAGATATTGAATCCCTTTAAAGAATTTCAGTTTTATTGATTTTATAAAGATATAGGATTTTATTTTATTTTTATTTATTGCCATTGCTTTGTCATTTTCAATATCATTTGTTTTTTTATTCCATTTTTTTTTATTTTGAGTGTATATTTACACTAAGTGCAAATAGCCCACCTTGTTGGCAGAGGCTATACACTAACTCCGCCCACTAACGTCTGGTTGGGCCAGAAGATGCTGGACGACAATATTAGCAATAGAGTATTACATATCAAATCGGAAATCCATTTTTTTTTTTCAATTAAAATGAGGAAAATATACGAAAAGTGAAAATAAAGGGTCCAACGTGTGTTTAATAATAAAGTGTTTTTCAGTTAGGGTTAGGTTTAGGGAGGGCTTTATTGTCCAAATAAGGCGACATCCATTTAATAATTGTAATAAATATAATCATTTACACTCTATTTTATTATTGCCGTTTAGATACCGTTTAATGTACAACAAAACTGATGTGCAAATATCTGCCACCATTTATAAGTTTAAAAATCATTTACTTATCGCAAAGAAAATACTACTATTTGCTATTTTACACAGTGTAAATAGAATCTATCACTATCTTCATTGTGTAAATATCATATTGCTAAGAAAATAAATATGCTATATTTACACTCACATTTTACAAGCAAATAGCCGCTGCCTTATATATTCACAATTAGTTATTTTAGTTCTTTAATTTGAAATCAAATAACATTTATATTTCATTTTATTTCCTATTGTAGGACCCCCTTGAAAATGAGATGTTGCATCTCAAGGGGCTATCCTGTCAATAAATTCAATTAACAAAATGCTTTTAATAGTTTTTGTTAACAATAATAACACCGTTTTCAGTACAAATACATAAAGACTGAATATAATCAAAAGGCTGAAAAATATAGAATTTTCTTGTTTAGCTACAGTATCGCTTAGCCAGCCCTGTCTATATGCACGATACATTGGCATTTTAGAAACATCCAGCATGTTTTCAGTTAAATGTCATATGCATGAGTTGTTTATATGTCATTTGTCTGTTTTAGCCTTTGAGGTTACCAAATAGGACAGGCAGTTTGCCATGAATAACCTCCAACCTTCCCATTAGAACGCTGATATATTGCGATCCACTCGTGTCGAGTACATTGAGAAAGACAGACAGAGACATTGTTAGGCAAGCTGAATGATATACTGAAAAGCGGGGTGGACTGTTTAAATCCTATTGGGGGCCTTTGGCTAGCTTTTAGGTGAACTTATTGATTGATGTATGGCCTCATTTTGTTAAACAGTTCTTGCTGCCCATCCCCTCAGTCAGTGGCTGACTAGTACTGCACACAGTCAGATCGTGGACATACGATCTGTGTGCAAAAGTATATAAAGACCCTATGAAATAAGTTAATTGCCATGGTGATTAAGGACCTCTTCATGTTCCTGCCATTTTCTGGTTGTTTTTCTTAGTTAGGAAGCAAGAGTATTAACAAAAGCTTTTGCAGTGGAAAAAACATTAAAGAAAACAGCTTCCACTGCAACTTTTTGGACCAATGGACCATGCAGATTTGGTCAGCTATTTTGAGAATGATGTGACATGATTATTCAACATTTTTAGCTGAAGATGGGATCAAAAAGGGAGAAGAATGTAAGAAAATATGTGATATGGATCACTGTTTTAAAGCATTTTTACTAAAGCTCATTATAGGAAAAGGAATCCTTTTGCATTTCAGATTGTGAATGATTGTATTGATGTATTGATTGTATTAACGCCTCCAGGCCAAACCCAAGCGGTGTGAAATGAGGTTAGACTGCTGCATCATATGTTGAACTGCAGTCAGACAAATATGAATTGATGGCCAGGCCAATATTCAAATCCGACTTTAATTAAAGAATGAAAGGTTAGCCAATATCAAGAAATGCACTTAATTGGATGTGACACAGACAACTTTGTCATTGATGTTTTATATTTTCAGCATGTTGGTAGATTCAAGCCAACATCTAGTCTTTTTGTGATGGAGTTAAGACGACATATCAGTGTT